CAAGGTACATGCCCTTGACCGGAATCGAACCTGGGACCTTTTGGTCCATAGGCCGACGCTCTATCCACTGAGCCAAACCGGTTTCGGCTTATTTTATTGATTTTTTTACAGAGAGGAAGAAAGAGGGATAGAGAGTTAGAAACATCGATGAGAGAGAATCATCGACCAGCTGCCTCTTGCACACGCCCTACTGAGGATGTGCCCCCAACCAAAGTACATGCCCCTGACTGGAATCAAACCTGGGACCTTTCAGTCTGCAGGCCAACGCTCAGTCCAATGAGCCAAACCGATTTTGGCTCAGTTCGTTTTGCCAGGCTGCACTGTGTGTGTACAGGGGGCAGGGGATTGAAAGTAGGCCTGAATGGGGTTATGCACGGGCTGTAGTTTTCATGGGGCACCCACTCGAGCCACCTGCCCACAGGAAGTGGTAGTGGTTCCATCTTGCCTCTGGCTTGGGAAACCCTGGCCCCATCTGCAGCCCTCCCCGCAGGTGGAGGAAGGCCCAGCCCATGGGGCCAGAGTTTTTGTGGTCAGAGCCCAGACTGCTGCCAGGAAGAGGGGCTGGCACCTTCCTGCCTGTAGCTGAGGGCTTCCCTGGGGGCCGGTGGGGACACGCATGGAGGTGCGAGTCATGTGGGCCCCGGGGCAGCAGTCAGTTTGCGAGTGGGCAGATGCAGTGCCAGCTGCACAGTTGTGCCAGGAGCCCCACTGCCTGGCCAGGTGGCTCGCAGCTGCTCCTTAGAGCAGACGCAGTGGCGATGGTGGAGGTAAAACTTGGGTGAAGGCAGTGGCGATGGTGGAGGTAAAACTTGGGTGAAGGCAGTGGCGATGGTGGAGGTAAAACTTGGGTGAAGGCAGTGGCGATGGTGGAGGTAAAATTTGGGTGAGGCTGATGCCAGACCAATGCCTCCAGCCTCAGTCCCCCCCGAAGAAAGGAGCTGGTCCCTTCTGCCTAGACTGCTGTGAGGACTAAGGGGGTGGTACCTGTGAGCACCTGGACCAGCGCCTGCACCCAGTCCGCTGTCCTCAGGAGCTGAGTGAGTCTGGGCGCACCCTTAGCCGGGACTCTGCCCTCTTCCCGCCCTCACTCTCCTCACTGGACACTGAGGGACCAGAGGTGATCCAACTTCCTGACCTGGGAGCCACCTCAGCGCCAGCTGTCTGACCTTGGTCAGGGTAGTCTCTGTGCCTCACCCTCTGCACCCTTGAGAGGGGGTAATAATAATACCCACCTCACGGAGCAGGGAGGAGTGAGGGCATCCTTAGGAAGGGGCCTGGTGCGTAGTAGGAGTGAGATTTAAATGTTAGCTGCTGCTGCTGCTGTTGTCATTATTCTTTTCTTCATCAGGCCCAGAGAAGCAATGTGACTTGCTCAAGGTCACCCAGCTAAAAAGTGGTGCGCGTTAGGATCAAGGCCAAGGCTGCTGAGCCCCGAGGCCCGTGCAGCTTCCGTCTCTCCCCACCGGCCTCTTCAGTCACGTGGGCAGTAAGTGGGTCAGAGGCAGTGAGTACCTGGGGGGATGACGTGGCAGCAGGGACCGTGTGTGGATTAGTTCCTTGTCTCCTGCTGACACCTGGCAGGGAGCAGGGAGCAGGCCTGAAGGGAAGGGAGTTGGGCAATGAAGCGACCCCCAAAACTGAGCCCCAGGAACCAAGTACATAGAAAGAGATTAACCTGAAGTAGCGCCAGCCCCTCGGGCGCTCGTGGCCTGTTGATGGGGACAGACAAGGAACAGCTGCGACACCCCAAATACTCCGGGTCCCGAGAGAGCCACACCCTGTCTGAATCCTGAGACCCCAAGAGACAGGAATGGGCAGGAGGGAAGGCTTCTTGGAAGAGTGGGACCTGAGCATACTGAGACGCAAGAGCTGGGGCGGGGGGTGTGGAGGGAGGAAGGGAGGTGAAAGCAGGTAGCAGGAATGTGGAAGAGGCTGCAGAGGGACATTCAAGCTGGAGAGAGGTGGTGCGGGGCAGTGGTCAGAGCACGAACTGAACCTGGGGTGAGGGGGCAATTAGTGGGGCTAAAATCCACTCTGGCTGTGCCCCTGACCCAGCCTGGTGCCCAGAGCAGCAGGGAGGAGCCAGGCACCAGCAAGCCCTGCAGGAGGGAGCAAAGGGCTCCTAGCACCTTGCAGCTGCTCGTCCAGCTCCCCAGGGATGTGGGCACAAGCCCAAAGTGGGAGTGTTGCACACGTGTGTGCATGTGCCTGCACACGGGCCCTCCCACCTCAGCAGCCCTGGGGGGTCCACACACTTCAGAAGTGGGTCAGCAGAGCAGCCCAGTGTGTGTCCCTGGTGGACAGCACCGCTGGGGAGAGCCCACACTCCACAGGAGGCTCCGGCTGGCAGGCAGCCTCACTGTTCCTGCTGCATCAGCCAGCGACTCGCTGTCCCGGGATCCTCCCCCAGGCGGGGTGGATGTTTGACAGAGCGAGAGCTGACCCTTCCAGCCCTGAAACCAGGGAAGACTGGTGGGAGACAGCGCCCACTTTAGCCCAGCTCCCCCCTGCAGCTCTGCCCCAACACCATCTGTGACTGCAGCCAGAGGGGCCAGTGCCAGCCAGCCAGCCAGGAGCTGGGACTGCAGACTTGGTGACGGTGCATGGCAGGGTGGGGTTCAGCACACTGAGTGGGGCGGAGCGAGGGGACAGGTTTGGGTCTCTGGAGGCCTGCCACCACCCCTCCCTCCGGGGGTCTGACATGGGCTAGAGACACGGAGGTCACTCATGTGGCATTTCAGATGGGCTCCTGGCATATGTTGAGGCTGAAAGAAGTAGGAGAGGAAAAGCAGTAGGCAGGGAAGCTTCTACTGGAACAGGCTTATTCATGAATGGAGGAGAGGAGGCTGAACAGGGGGCAGGATGCTGAGGAGGAAGGGGTGGGAGCCAAGCTGAGGAGGGAATGGAGCCCCAGCTCCCCGCCAGCTGGGAGCACTGCAGATGGGGCACTGCAGATGGGGCTGGGTGGGAGGCCAGGAAGTTCCCTCCTGACGTTCCTCCGCCGTGCGAAGTGGGAGGCTGGGTCGTGCAGAGGGAAGGAAGGAGAACACAGAGGAGGGTTTGGGTCTAGGAGAGCGGCTGAGCCAGGGAGAGGATGCTGGGCTCACGGAACACTCACCGGGCTCCCAGCCTCTGGTGGAGCGCAGCCAGAGAGCATGTGGGTTATACTGAGAGCCCGCCCCCTACACAGAGCACGCACTCCGGGCCAGACAGACAGCAAGCACAGGCTCCAGTCTGCCAACTCACTGGTCCTCCCCACAGCCAGAGATGGGAAGCTGAGGCACAGAGCCCTGCAGTAACTCGCCCAAGGCCAACCAGCTAGCAAGGGTTCGAAGCCGGCTGGGTTTCGAAGCCGGCCCTCAGCCCCGGGGGTCTTGCAGAGGGTGGCTGTGAGGGTGTTGGGTGGCACACCTGGGGTGGAGGTCGAGGGGCGTGCGGGGAGCAGAGGAGATTCCAAAGAGGCCACTCCTGTCAGCACCGAGTGCAGTGCCGGCCACTCCCGTTGCTGCACGTACCGCCCCCAGCCTGTCCTCCCCCATCAGACAAGACATGCAGGTTCAGAGGGCACCCACTGTCACCCAGGCCTGGACTCCCCACGGCAGCTCTCGGCCCCAACACCATCTGGACACAACCTGTACCTCTGGGGTGGGCGTGTCCAGCTCTGTGGACACTGAAGGGGTCAGTCGGGGGGGAGGGGGGCGGGTCTGTGGGACGGGCGCTCTATCCTCCTGTCTGGGCCCAGGCAGGGTCCTGGGACTCCAGCAGTGGGAGGCTCTGTGTACCTCAGCTGGCTGTGTGTGTCATCGTGGCACTGGAGGGACTGTAAGCTGTGGTGGGGGTGGGGCCGTATCTGCACCATCTGTCAGCGTTCTGAGACTGCGGCTGAAGTATCTGATAGCATGACCTCTGCCCTCAGACTTGCCTTTCCCACTCCTGCCTTATTTTTGTCTACAGCCCATATCCCCCTTTATCATAATACATACTCCATGTGTTCACCACACGTATGACCATCTCCCGAAGGGAAGGCCCAAGGCAGGATTCTTACCATCTGTCCAGTGCAGTGTCCCCTGGGCTCGGTGACGCTGGCCGAGGACAGGTGCTGGTCAGCACTGTGAATGGGACCACTTCTGTGAATGCTGTCCCTGCATGCCCCCCCTCCCTCTTTCTCTTCCTCTTCCTCCCTCTCTCTCTCTCTCTCTCTCTCTCTCTCTCTCTCTCTCTCTCTCTTTCACCATTTACTTGATGCTGAATTAATTGCTGACCATAAGCTTTTGTTCCTTCCGTTTCTTCTGGGCCATCCTTCTCTCCTGCGCACTCCTCCACGGGTGTAGGAACCTGCCCTTTCTCAGCTGAGATGGTCTGCCTGCATCTTGGGGTGTTGTTCCCCCGGATGTGCTCGGCGACCAGAAAATCTATTTCTAAACCCTCGCGCTCTGCATTGCTCGCTGCATTGTTAAGCACATGTGGCAAAAACTCAGCACTCCGTTCTGGCCACCGGCCCCATGTCTAGCCCCACTGTGCGGCCCAGGCACACCCCCGCTCCATCACTGTAATGACGAGTGGCACACCTTGCTTCTGCAAAGTGACATGAAGATCTGAACCTCTTGAATTGCATGGTTTTGTGGGGTTTTCTGGGTCAGCTGAATAGCAGCCCATTTTTGGAGGTCACCTCTAGCTGCTCTCAGGAAGAGCTGTGGCATGTCTTTGTGTCAGGATCAGCCCTGACACTGTCTGGATGACAGCAAGAGACAAATAGGCTGGCAGTGCCCGCGGGGGGGGGGGCGCGGTGGCAGTGCCTGTCTCTGCGGGTGGGGGTAGCTCAGCTGGTCCGGAAGCTTGGGGAAGGTAATGCAGCAAAGATGCTTGTTGCCCCCTGTGGCCATCCTGGGCCTGGCGTCTGGCCTCCAGGGATTCTGGTGCTGGGGAGGGGAAGGGGAGGTGGAGGATGGGGCCCTGGCCTGATGTCACACTCCGTGCCGCCCCCCCTCGCCCCACAACAGGGAGAAGATGAGCGTGGGCTGCCCAGAGCCCGAGCCGCCCCGCTCCCTGCCCTGCTGCGGGCCAGGGACGGCCCTTGGGCTGGGGACAGGCGTGCCCCTCCTCACTGAAGACATGCAGGCCCTGACCCTCCGCACCCTGGCCGCTAGCGACGTCACCAAGCACTACGAGCTGGTGCGGGAGCTGGGCAAAGGCACCTACGGGAAGGTGGACCTGGTGGCCTACAAGGGCACAGGTGAGTGTCTGGAAGGTGGCTGGTCTCGTGGCTTGGGTGGGACTTAGCCGGGCTCTCGGGTGCTGTCTGCGGGGCCTGGAGGCCACAGGGAGGAGAGGCCGTGGTCCAGGTGAGGAGGATGCAGCCTGAGTGGCCCAGGACGAGGGGACCGGGCAGATGGGACAGAGGAGGAGTCTGGAGGCAGAATGTCCAGACGTGGATGCTTTGGGCGCATCCCAGGTGCCTCTGGGTCAGCCCAGGGCATGCACCCCGGGCCTCGAGCTCAGGAGGAGTCAGGGTCAGGGCTGGTGGTGGTGCTGGGAGAATCACCAGCTTATCAGTGATAGCTGACCCCAGGGAGATGGACAGACTGTGGGTCCCCCAGAACAGGGTGCCCTGCATGAGCTCCCACATTTGCACACACCTGGGGCAGGGGACTCTATGCCGACTGAAGGCAACAGGAAGATCACTGGACATGAGGTCACCTGAGCTTTGCCACTTGCTGTGTGACCTTAGGCAAGTGACTTAACCTCTCTGTGCCTAGGTTTCATCCTCTGTAAAACGGGGTAGCATTAGTGGGCAGCTCAGAGGATCACTGTGAGGAGTCAGTTGTGAATGGGAATTGCTGAAGGCAAGGCAAGTGCTCTGGAGACACGGGTGCCTGCCCCAGCAGAGTCAGGGACACTAGTATGTGCCTTGCAGGCCCTCACCTCCCCGTGTTTAATTCCTTCTCACTCACTCATCCATTAAGCAGACATTTGCTGCGCACGTACTGTGCATCAGACTCCTGTAGACCTTGGAGACATAGCAGTAAACAAAGCACAGTCCCTGCTCTCCGGAAGTTGTGTTCTTGTTGGGGGAGACACACGTGCTAAATAAGTCTAGTGTGTCAGGAGGACAATGAAGGAGGAGGGGCAGCTGCAGGCGGGGTCTGCCCCTGGGACCCCATGGGACCCTGGGACAGGCTGTGCCGGCAGGCATGGGTTGTGTCAAGTGCAGGAGGGAGGAGCGGGGCCCTCACCACTGTTGCCCTGCCAGGCACGAAAATGGCGCTGAAATTTGTGAACAAGAGCAAGACCAAGCTGAAGAACTTCCTGCGGGAGGTGAGCATCACCAACAGCCTCTCCTCCAGCCCCTTCATCATCAAGGTCTTTGACGTTGTGTTTGAGACGGAGGACTGCTACGTCTTCGCCCAGGAGTACGCGCCGGCGGGGGACCTCTTCGACATCATTCCTCCGCAGGTGCGTGGGTGGCAGCTGAGGGCGGGGAGCCGGACTTCCGGCCGGAGTGCGAGGTGGGGAGTGGTCGGCCGCTCATTCACTCCGTGAGTGTGTACTGAGCCACTGCGTGGAGGGCAGGGGTTCACAGTGAACAAGACCAAGGTCCCGTCTCTGGTGGGCACACAGACACTTGGCAGTCAGCCAGTGACAGGCTGCGATGAGCCCCGGAAGGAAGCAGCCAGAGAGAGAGATGGATGCAGGCCAACAGCAGCATCCTCTCGGCTGCGAAGGGCCGGGCGGAGGCACCAACAGGGAGGCAGCAGGGCCACGGGCTTCCCAGAGCAGCTGCGAGTGGGGAAGCAGGAGGGTTCCGGGCCCGACTTTGCTGCTGGCCGTGCCAGTTTGAATCTGCTCCGCCCCCTACTGATAAGTGACTAGGTCTCTCCCAGCCTCGGGGTCCCTGAAGAGAAATGGGCGTAATCGGAGCCCCTGTGGAGTTGGTGAGACAGGACAGGATAGGGTGCTTCACCCAGCAGGTGGGCCGTGGCAGGTGCTCGGGACCGGGAAAGGGCCAGACCCGGACTAGAGAAGCGGGAGGGGGCGGGGCCACAGGAGCGGCCAGGCCCGGGCTGGGGTGGGAGAAGAGTGGCAGCAGGCGGCTGGGCGGCTGGCGGAGGGGAGGGGTGTGGGCTGAGATGGAAGGAGAAGGGCCGAGTTCGGGGAGGGACAGACGGCCCTGAGCGCGCGTGTGTGTCGTCCCCCACCCGCCACCCCCGCCCCGCAGGTGGGGCTCCCCGAGGACACGGTGAAGCGCTGCGTGCAGCAGCTGGGCCTGGCGCTGGACTTCATGCACGGCCGGCAGCTGGTGCACCGCGACATCAAGCCCGAGAACGTGCTGCTGTTCGACCGCGAGTGCCGCCGCGTGAAGCTGGCGGACTTCGGCATGACGCGCCGCGTGGGCTGCCGCGTGAAGCGGGTCAGCGGCACCATCCCCTACACGGCGCCCGAGGTGTGCCAGGCGGGCCGCGCCGACGGGCTGGCCGTGGACGCGGGCGTGGACGTGTGGGCCTTCGGCGTGCTCATCTTCTGCGTGCTCACCGGCAACTTCCCGTGGGAGGCGGCCTCGGCGGCCGACGCCTTCTTCGAGGAGTTCGTGCGCTGGCAGCGCGGCCGCCTGCCCGGGCTGCCGTCGCAGTGGCGCCGCTTCACCGAGCCGGCGCTGCGCATGTTCCAGCGGCTGCTGGCGCTGGAGCCCGAGCGGCGCGGCCCGGCCAAGGAGGTCTTCCGCTTCCTGCAGCACCAGCTCACGGCCGAGCTGCGGCGCCGGCCCTCGCACCGCGCCCGCAAGGCCCCGGGCGACCGCGTGCCCCCCGGGCCGCTGCGCCTCGAGGCGCCCGGGCCGCTCAAGCGCACGGTGCTCACCGAGGGCGGCAGCGGCCCCCGGCCCTCGCCCCCCGCCGTGGGGCCTGTACCCGTGCCCGTGCCCGTGCCCGAGGCCGGGCTGGCGCCCCCGGGCCCGCCCGGCAGGACCGACGGCCGCCCGGACAAGAGCAAAGGGCAGGTGGTGCTGGCCACGGCCATCGAGATCTGCGTCTGAGCGGCCGCCGCCGCCCTCGGCCGTGCTGGCCCGGTGCGCGCGGCTGGCGGGGCACTGGGGCCGCCCTGGGCCCGCCGGGCCGTGGCCGCGGTGGCCGTGGTGGCGGCCGGCGGGCAGCACCGCCCGGCCCGCGGGGTGGAGAGCGTAGCAGTAGTCTAGGCAGGACGGCGGCCCGGGCCCGTCCATCCATCTGAGGGCTGGGGAGACGGACACTGAAGGCCTCTGGCCTGGCCTGTGGGGACACCGGGAGCAAGGGAGCTTGCGGGTGGACCCCCAGCACCTCCCTGAACCCCAGAACCTCGGACCAGTTGCCCCTGGCCCTTCTCACGCCCTGGCAGATGATCCCTCAGCCCCACCCCAGTCCTGCCCTCCTGCCCCCTCCACTCCCTGGGCACAGAAGGCGGGGACTGTGGGGCAGAGAAGAGGCTGAGGACCCTGGGCCAGCTGGGGGGAGGACAGTGAGCCGGGAGCAGGGCTGCTCAGCTGCATCCTGCCGGGTTCCTGGGGGGAAAGGCCAGCCGCTTGCAAAACGTAGCAGATGTCTGGGTGGTGCAGCCTGTGTGCAGGCACAGGCCTGGGAATCCAGTGACTCCTCCCGCCTTCTCCGGATGACACGGATGACAGGGCGAGGGCAGCTTGCCTTGGGCCACACGGCCACTGAGGGGGGGTGGTCCTGTGCCTCACCCTCCTCCCCAGAGGACAGGAGGGCGCCCAGGGCAGGGGAATGAGTGTAGAGCTCCAGTCCGGATCCAGCTCCCCTGCCCGCCGCCTTCCCCAGGCCCAGGGAACACCAGGCCGCCCAGGCCTGGCTGCCCAGCCCAGAGCGCCCTGGCTCCGGTGAGGTGACTGGTGCAGAAATTTCCCTGGGTCTCTGCTGGGCTTAAATACGGCAGCCTCGTCCCCGCGTCGCACATTCTGGTCCTGGGGCGTGAGGACGGGGTCCGAGGAAACGGGAGGGCATGAGTGTGTGTGACAGGTGTGTGCAGTGTGAGCGAGAGTGCGCGCGTGTGCCTGTGAGTGTGTGTGTGTGTGTGTGTGTGAGAGAGAGAGAGAGAGAGAGAGAGAGAGGCAGAGAGAGATGGGTGTGGTGTGTGCAGTGTGAGTGAGAGTGTGCGAGTGTGCCTGCGTGTGTGTGTGTGTGTGTGTGTGTGTGTGTGTGTGTGTGAGATGGGTGTAATGTGTGCAGTGTGAGCGCAGAGTGCACACGTGTGCGTGCATGTGTGTGTGTGTGTGATGGGTGTGTGTGAGTGTGAGATGGGTGTGGTGTGTGCAGTGTGAGCGCAGAGTGCACGCGTGTGCGTGCATGTGTGTGTGTGTGTGTGTGTGTGTGTGTAGCCTTGTGTGTCGAGTGACTGCGTCCAGAAGCCTCAGCAACTCCTCCCTGCCCCAGGGCCCCGCCGGCAGCTGCCAGGGCATCCAGGCCTGCTTTCACCACCCCCTCAGGGAACCGCCGGGAGGCACCTGCAGGTAGGCCCAGCCCCCAGGCAGCAGAACAAAGGGGAGGAGCCCGGCCTCACCCAGGGCTCCCTGGCACCCTGCCCTCCGCGGAGGCCCAGGACCCGCAATAACCTCAGACGGTGAGGCTGCTCCTCCCCAGCAGGCCGTTCCCCATCCTGCGCCCCGCCTGCCAGGGCCCCTTCTGGCCATTGAGGGGGCTCGGTGATGGGCCAGGCTGACCAGAGGAGCCCCAGCCGCCCTCTGGCCTGGAGCGCCTCCACCCTCCCCTTACTCCCACCGCACAAAGGGCTATAGGTCCCCGCGCTGCCTGGGTCCAGTTTACAAACAGGTTGCCCAGGGCCTGGCCCCCCTCTCGGGGTGCGCCCTCTCAGACCCGCCTCTGGAGCAGGCGTGGGGCCTCGCACCCGGGTAAGTAGCAAATCCCTCCTTCCTCAAGGGCCAGGCCCTCACTGCCCCGGCCCGGAGCCCGCCCTCCGGCACCTCTCCTTTTGCCTTAGGCCGTTCGACATCCTGTCTCCTGCAATAACCAGGAAGGAGATTCCAGTAGCTGTCCCCCGCGTGTCCTCCCTCTCCGTTGAGACCCCGTCTGCGTAGCTAGGCTGTTAGAGCCGGAAGGGACCGTAGTTGTGTAGCAGCATCTTCAGGGCATGGCTGGCCGGACGCCGGCCCCCGGGGCTGCCCCGGCCGGCCACTGCGGGCTGCTGGGCACCCTGTGCCCCTTAGGAGAGGTGTTGGTCACAGATGTTTACCTCAGTTTATGTCACTGTCGAAGAAACAAAAAATAAATAGCAAAAAGTAACACCGTAGACATGAAGACTTAGAAAAAGAAAAAGAAAAAGAAACTTAAAAAAAATCCTCCCCTTGCTATTCCCCTGTGAGGTGTGTCTCCATCCCGCCCTGGGCAGGCCCCGTCCTTTGGTGCTTCCCAGAGGCCCCTCTGAGCTGGCCTGCAGGGTGTGGGGAGCCCTGGGCGGGAGCAGGGCCACACGTTAGCTAGAGCGGCTCCTGCCAGGCCCCTCGCAGAGCCTCGGGGCCCGACGCCCCTGAGCCTGCGCTGTGGCGTGGAGCCAGGCTCAGGGCCTGGGTGGGATCCCCCAGCCCCACATATATCGACACCCCCCCCCCCCATGTGTTTGTAAATACTCCGGCATCCTTTGGCCCTGAGGAGGTTTTTAAATGTGTTATTCTCTAATCATGACAATTGCTATAAAATAAAAAACTTAGAAAAATGACCACTGGGTGGCTGTCTTGTTTCAGACACAGGGCTGTGGGGTACACAAGTGTCTGCAGTGGGGGCGGCTACTCCGGGCCTCCTGCGACCTCAGGCCTGGGGGAGGCCCAGGCAGGGCTGAGCGTGAGGGAAGCAGCCCCGGGCCTGGGGGAGGGGCGGGGAGGTCCAGAGGGAGCGCTCCAGGCTCAGCTGTCAGCGTGGGTCTTTCCACAGATTCGCCGGTCACTGTCGGAAACCCTCCAGTCCTCCAAGGTCCCAGCCCCACCCCTACGCCTCTCCGGCTGCCTCCCACCACATTGAGCTCTCAGGGGCTGGGCCCCTGCCTTGGACTCGCCCAGACCTCCCGGAACCCCTCGCTCCAGGCCCCGCTCACAGGCGAACTTCCCGTCAGGGTACATGCCCACCAGAATGGAAGTTCCATCGGAACAGTCAGTGCTGCCCTGGCTGTGTGGCTCAGTTGTTTGGGCGTCATCCTGGGCACTGAGACGTTGCAGGTTCGATTCCTGGTCAGGGCACATGCCCGGGTTTCAGGCTCCATCCCCAGTGAGGCAGGCAGGGGATGCTGGAGGGGTGCAGGGGGCAGCTGGTCCATGTCTCACTCTCTGGCATTGATATTTCTCTTTCTCCCTCTCTTTCTAAAAATAAAATAAAATAAAACATTAAAAAAAAAAAAAAAAAAGACAGTATTTGGCAAATTGCTTCTCCCTCCTTGGCACGTGACTGGCCTCCTAACCTTCGTCAGATGAGTGAATGCCGATGCTGTTAGGGGCCCAGGGGTCATCAGTAAACGAGACAAATGAGCTGTCCCCTGCAACTTATTTTCTAAAGCGGGAAACAGACATTAAGTGGGTTACATGGGGGCCGGCCCCGCCCGGCGGCCGCCCCGGGCACCCTGGACTGCGCTTGCCCTCTCCACACCACCAGCTGCTCCCCATGCCCGCCACGCCCCGGGCTGGCTGGCAACGCCCAGGGGCTAAGTGTTGAGAAGAGGGGCCAGCTGCTGCCAGCCCTGAGGGCTGTGGGGTGGAACGGGCTGGAAGGCCGGGACACAGCCTCAAGCAGGTCCATTTCAAAGACACCCCCCCCCGGGGGGGGGGGGCTTTTGGCTTCAGGACAGGAACGGCCCTGCAGGCTGAGCAGCCGGGCCAGCATCCTGAACGGCTCACCGTGTACGGGGCCCCTCACCCTGAGCGCCCTGCCTGTGCAGGCCGCTCAGACGGGACACAAACCTGCCGGCTTCCTCCACACGTGGCTGTGCCCGTGACCTGGACCCTTGGATTCCTCAGGGGAAGGGGTCACTGAACTGGAAATCCAGAGAGAGAGCAGGGGAGGACCCCCCTGCTGTAGTCAACGTGGCCATGTCCACCTGCTGCCTCCATTCAGGGGAGAGTCCTTGCTGTGGGAAGAGATGCGAGCATCACTGCCAACACCAGGGACTTAGACCGATTCCCCCCACACGTGCTCCTCCTCCTGGGGCCCTATTGACGTGCCCCCATTTGAGTAAGCTCTCCCCAGTCCTCACAGCCTCCCGGCGTCAGCAGTGATGTCCTCCCCAGGCCGTATTTGCTGCCTTTCTAATTCATTACCCAAGACACTGTGGTAGAAGCTGGGTCTGAGGCAGGATCTTAGAAACCAGAACCCTAACGCCAACCCCCCCCACGTGACAGAAACACGTGCCTTTTATGCCTCAAATAAAACCTGTTTCAGTGGGGGGGAAAGTAGGTTACCTAATTACCTATGAGATAGGAGGTGGGGGTAAGAGAGTGGGGGCGAGGGGAGACAGAGAAAGAAAAATTCACTCAGGCCAGATCAGAAGGCGAAGGGCTCCCACCCAAGAATTTGATCTATAATAAATCCCGTTATTTCTAAACATCTGCCGATGGTCTGCCATAAGGGTGGATGCCTAGAGGCAATAATCACTTTACCCAACAAAGATACTTGGGCGCTGGCCCAGTAGCTCAGTTAGCTGGAGCGTCATCCTGCTGCGCCCACCAAGGTTATGGTCTCCATCCGCTGGTCAGGGCACATACGTCAGCCAGTCGCCCTGGCCAGTGGACAGAGCATCAGCCTGTGCACGGAAAGGTCAAGAGTCTGATTTTGGGTCAGGTCAAGGGCACATACTGGGACACCTGCAGATGGCATCCATTGATGTGTCTCTCGCATCAATGTTTCTCTCTCCCCCCGCCCCTCCTTCCACACTCTCAAAAAATCAATAGAAAAAAATATCCTCCGGTGAGGATTAAAAAAAGAGAGAATCAACCAATGAATGCATACGTGGAACAACAAATCAATGTTGGTCTCTCTAAAATCAATCAAAAATGTTTTTATTTTAAAATATATTTTTTTAATGTTTTATTGATTTTTTTACAGAGAGGAAGGGAGAGGAATAGAGAGCTAGAAACATTGATGAGAGACATTGACCAGCTGCTTCCTGCACACCCCCCACTGGGGATGTGCCCAAAACCAATATACATGCTTTTGACCGGAATCAAACCTGAGACCTTTCAGTCCGCAGGCCGATGCTCTATCCACTGAGCCAAACCAGTTTCAGCAAATTATATATATATAATTTTTTTTTTTTAAAACAGAGTACCTGGACTGTTAGTGGAGGGGAAACCTACAAATGCTAACAATATCACTGCTTCCCTTGCTTGATGTACAAATACCACCTTTCTTAACGCCCAGTGAATGGGAGAAGGCCAGCCCCTACCACTAGGGGGCCTCAGTCTTCTGCTGCTGTGGCTTCTGCTCGCTGCTCAGCATCACTGCTGACCTCAGGCATGCCCTGCGGCCGCGATTTCAACCTTTTTCATCTCATGGTGCACAGAAACGAATTACTAGGATTTTGCTGATCTGACCAAAAAAATAGATAGAACTTTGACTCGTTCACACCGATGGCAATTGTGTTGGCTGTCGTCATTTGATATTTTGACATTCTAAGGGAAAAGAGGGGAATGCCCCTGACTAAGCAGTCAGGTACTGCGTGTCTTAAAAGTTCTTGCGGCCACCAGTTTTTCAACGAAAAACCGCTCCTCTGGGCTGGTACAGCCCTCCTCTTCCCAGGCCGAAGGGGCTTGGTCTGAGGGGCTGCCAGCCTCACCTCACACTGTCAGAACCAGACCAGCCCCGTAGCCCTCAGTCCTTCCTTTTTGCCTGGGTCACCTCCCCTGGACCAGGAACGCTTCCCGCTGAGAGCAGTTAGTGTCCCTTCCCGCCCTGGTTTTCAGTCCGGACTCTCGGTCCATCAGAAAGGTGCCGATACACGGAACTTCAGAAGGAAAGGGCTTGTGCTCTTGGTTACTTTCCTCCCCGAGAAACATCATGAGCCCGGTGCAAGTTTCCCAGCTCCTCACCGGCAGCCAAGCCTCAAAGGTCCCAGTGTGCCCGTCACACAGGGCGATGCTTACTACTTACATCGCTGAGGGAGAGAGTCCCCAAACGGCATCTCTCTCTCTCTCTCTCTCTCTCTCTCTCTCTCTCTCTCTCTCTCTCTCTCTCTCTCGCAAAGCCCCAGCCGCCCAGCGAGTGCCTGGTTCCGGGTGGAAATGTGGGCGTGAGGCGAGTAACTGAGAGGTGTTTACTGGCAGCGGAGGGGATGAGAATGCTTGTCACCAGGCCTGGGTTACTGAGCCTTGGGGCAGGGAGGGGGTTCAAGGGGCTCCGTTGGGGACAGAGGAGGATGGCCTCCAGGGCGAGTGAGGCTGTACCATTCACACACTTGAAATTTCTCAGAGTATGTCTTAAGTATTCTCACCCCCCAAAAAGATGGTTATATTTACTAGCTTGGTTGTGCTGATCATCTCACAATACACACGCATACCAAAATATCAGTCTGTATACCTTACATGGGTACAGTCTTCATTTGTCCATTTTACCTCAGTCACTAGAAGAAGAAGGAACAGAAGAAGAAAAAGTCTGGGCACGGCCTGACTCAGACAGTGAGCCCCGAGTGGGAACCCTCGGAGTTCAGGGAGGGGCCTGGTGTCCTCAGGAAGTGCAGGGGGCGCCCTCCAGGCGTTCCGTCTCAGTGTTAGAGGAAAGTGGAGGGTGGCTGCTAAGGTGGAGGGCTGGGGCTATTTAATTACACTTGTGATAAGGACCATAGGATGCCAAGAATGATATAAGATGTAGATAAGGCCATCCATCTGTCTTCGCCTGCGCATCCCCAACCAACTCCCTCCCTCTGGGTGACAGCAACCCACGTTTCCCTTCCATGATTTTTTTTTAAAAATATTTTTTTATTGCCCTAACCGGTTTGGCTCAGTGGATAGAGCGTCAGCCTGTGTACTGAAGAGTCCCAGGTTCGATTCCAGTCAAGGACATGTTCCTTGGTTGCGGGCGCATCCCCAGCAGGGGGTGTGCAGGAGGCAGCTGATCGATGTTTCTCTCTCATTGATGTTTCTAACTCTCTATCCTTCTCCCTTCCTCTCTGAGAAAAAATCAATTAAAAAAATATATATATATATATATATATATATATATATATATATATATATATATATATATAAAAACATCAATGATGAGAGAGAATCATTGATTGGCTGCCTGATTCCCACACCACTCGGGGGATGGAGCCCACAACCCGGGCATGCCCTGACGGGGAATCAAACTGTGACCCCTGGTCCATAGGTCGATGCTCAGTCGGGCCCTTCCATGTTTCTGATCCACATGGTTCAAGTGGGGCTGGCTCTGCCTCTTGGCTCCAAGGGTGACCACGTGACCCAGGACTGGTCAGCCAGCCTCCTGCATCCTCTGAGCCATGGAAACTGGCTCCTGCGTGGACATATGACCAGGGTTAGGCGGCTCCCACACCTGTTCGGGAAGGAAGTGTTCTCTTTTCGGGAGAGCTGCTAAGCTTGTGGGATGTAAGCCAGGACCTACTGGTAGCCATCTGTGCCACCCCTGGGGGAGACTCCAGCCAAGCATGAAACCTACAGAGTGAATGTTCCAGGACCAAGAGCTGAGGAAAGATGGATTCTGATCACATTGTTTGAGCACAACTATCCATGACTGAAATTAGATCTAAGCAGGTTTTGCAGTTACATGAGTTGAAATATTCTCACAAATGCATTGAGCGTCAACCAATGAGCCGAGAGGTCCCCGGTTCTATTCCTGGTCGGGGCACATGCTCAGGTTGCAGGCTTTATGCCCAGGAGGGGCCTGTTGACATCTCTAGCTCTCTAACCCTCTCCCTTCCTCTCTCTCTAAAACCAATAAAAAACATGTTAAAAAATAAAAACACAAAAAAAATTTGAGCCCTAGCCGGTTTGGCTCAATGGATAGAGCATCAGCCTGCAGACAGAAAGGTCCTGGGTTTGATTCCGGTCAAAGGCACATTCCCAGGTTGTGGGCTTAATCCCCATTAGGGGGTGTGCAGGAGGCAGCCGATCGATGATTCTCTCATCATTGATGTTTCTATCACTCCCTTTCCCTTCCTCTCTAAAATCAATAAAAATATTTTTTTATTGATTTTAGAGAGGAAAATCATGTAACTGCAAAACTTACTTAGATCTAACTTCAGTCATGGATACTTGTGCTCAAATAATGTGATCAGTAGGCGGGGCACTCAGACTAGCTGAGTTGCCCACTTGTGCTTTATGCCAAGAGCATTTTTTTTCTCTATTTTTATGTTTAAAAAAATATTTATTTCATTAACTTAGAGAAGGGGAGGGGAGAGAGAGACGTTGATGCCAGGCAGAGGGACCCACCGCCCTGTTCCTGCAGAGCTGACCACGGAAGGTGTGTTCCCAGGCTGTCCCAGGTCGGGCTGTTAGAGCCTCTTTCAGAGATTTAGAGTTGAGACTGAGAAGCCAGTCAGTATCTGCTTAAATTAAAAATATGAGAACTGCTGAAACCGGTGTGGCTCAGTGGATAGAGCATCGGCCTGCGGACTGAAAGGTCCTGGGTTTGATGACGGCCCAGGGCACATCCCCAGTAGGGGGTGTGCAGGAAGCAGCTGATTGATGTTTCTAACTATCCCTCTCCCTTCCTCTCTGTGAAAAATCAATAAAATATATTTTAAAAATAAATAAATAAAAATCTGAGGACTGCCCTGGCCAGTTTCTCAGTTGTTAGAGCATCAATCCATGGACTAAACGGTAATAAAAAGTTTGGTTCAGGTCAAGGGCACATACCCATTTGCAGGCTGGGTCCAGTGTGTGCAGGAGGCAACCAATGTGTCTCTCTCACATCAATGTTTCTCTCTGTCTCTCCCCCCTCCCTCTCTCTCTCTCTCTCTCTCAAATCATTAAAAGCATCTCCTTGGGTGAGGATTTTTTAAATGTCAAATTAACACATATTTTATATGTGTACAATCTATAATAATAACAGCATCATATGCTAATTAGACCGGACAGCTGGAAGACCTTCCGGACGAAGCCAGGGCTGTGAGGGCCGAGCCCCTGGCACGAATTCCGTGATCGGGCCTCTGGTTTATGTGTGAGCTTAGAAGCTGTGGGACAGCCCTGTTCAGGGATGAGCCTAGAGGAACAGAAAAAATCAGCGTGTTAGTTAAACTGGTGTCGGCTGCTATAAACAGATAAACCCCAAATCTCCATGTCCTCACATCACAGGTGTATTACTATCTCACGCCTGAAGCTGGCCCGGTTACTCAAGGGCCCTGGTCTCGTGGCCTGTTCACCTGCCGCAGCTGATGCCCGGCAGAAAGTACAGAGAGAAGAACATAATCCACTTTCTCAACGTTCTTAGTCCCAGAGTGGGACACGCCCCCTTTCACATTCCACCGGCAAGAACAGTCATATGACCACACCCCGCAGCCAGGCTGTGTGCCCGAGACAAAAGGAACCACGTGTCTTTGCTGCCATAGGACTTCCAGAGAAAAGCAGAGAGGAAAGGCAAGAGACATAACTGGGGGGCGTACTCACCAGTTTTCTGGATCTAAATCCCTACCCACATGAGGCCTGGCTTCCTATATTTGGATTCCATTATACATTCTGGGCCCTCATAATATAGCAACCTTTGGCCTTAAAGTACTTTGGAGTAATTTTCCGCCACCTCAGACACACGTTTGCCATTCTGTACCTTGCTTCCCCCCCCCTTCCCCACTTAATGTTGTCTCGTAAACATTTTCTACGTGGCTGTAGAGGCTGCCTCATAATCAATCATCATTTCAATGGCCTGACAGTGTTCTTATGAGTGCGCGTCCCCCAGCCGGGACCGGTTTGGCTCAGTGGATAGAGCGTTGGCCTGTGGACTGAAGGGTCCCGGGTTCGATTCCGGGCAAGGGCATGTGCCTTGGTTGTGGGCACATCCCCGGTAGGGGGTGTGCAGGAGGCAGCTGATCGATGATTCTCTCTCATAGATGTTTCTATCTCTCTATCTCTCTCTTCCTCTCTGTGAAAAATCAATAAAATATATATATTTTAAAAAAAATGAGTGCACGTCCCCTAATTTAAATATATATATATCCTATATAATAAAGATGTAATATGCAAATTGACCCTCACGCTCTCACAAAATGGCTGCCTATGACCAGGCCAGCAGGGGGTTAGTGAGGGACAACCAAATGACTGAACAAGCAGGCTGTGTGGGGCGACCAGACTGGCAGTAAGAGGTAACCAGGCCAGCCGGGGGGTGGGGGGCGTGGGGAGGAGGCAGTTAGGGGCAACCAGGCCAGTGGGGAGGAGATGCAGTTGGGGGCTATTCGGCTGGCGGGAGGGGGGGCAGTGAGGAGGGACTAGGCCAGCAGAGGGGGGCAGTTGGGAGTGGCCATGTAGACAGGCAAGTGATTAATTAGGAGGCAGCAGTCCAGGATTGTGAGAGGGATGTTCAACTGCTGGTTTAGGCCTGATCCCTGGTGCACGAATTTTATGCACTGGGCCTCTAATATATATGTGTGTATGTGTGTGTGTGTGTGTGTGTGTGTGTGTGTGTGTGTGTGTTTATTAGAGGATAATTAGAGGAAAGGAGAGGAGAGAGATAGAAACATCAATGATAAGAGAGAATCATTGATCAGCTGCCTCTTGCATGCCCCCTTTTAGGGATCAAGCCTGCAACCCAGACATGTGCCCTGAGCAGTACTTGAACCATGATGTCCTGGTTCATGGGTCAATGCTCAACCACTGGGCCAGGCCTGCAGGGCACATGTCCCCCTAATTTACTTCACCGTCTTACTGTTAGTTAGCGGAGTGACTTCTAATTTTTCACTATTACAAAAGACCCTGCAGTGAAATTCTTCATAATCTTGCCTTTCTTTGGAGTAGCTCTTTTTTTTTAATTTTTAATTAATCCTTACCTAAGGACATTATCATTGGTTTTTAGAGAAGGGAAGGAAAAGAGAGAGAGAGACGAACATCAACGTAAGCGAGAAACATCTATCAGTTGCCTCCCACACATGCCCCAACCAGGGCTGGGATCAAACCTTCAAGCTGGGTTTGTGCCCTGAAGGGGAATCGAACCCAAGACCTTTTGGTATAAGGGACGATGCTCCAACCACCTGAGACACACCAGTCAGGGCTGGAGTAGCTCCTTAGGACAAATCCCCAGAAGCACAGTTTCTAGGTAGGCCAATTGACAGGAACATGCTTATAGTTCTTGAAAACTGTTGCCAAACTGTTCTTCACAGAGTTGTGCCTACCTCTTGGGACGCCAATCTGGCTCTGGCACTTTAAAACGCATGACCTTTACAACATCCCGGCTCCTAGGATTGCGGAGAACAGCGGGAGGCCGGTCCTGGAGCACGAGGGTCAGACTGCACCTCGGTCCTGCTGTCCGGAGGGTTCGGGCCTGACATCCTGCAGCCATTCTCCGTCTGGGGTTCCCAGCCCCCACTCCTTCCATCTCAAAAGATGCCCCATGTTTCTCTGCTTCCCCTTCCACCCCTGAGACCAACAGTCTGAAGTGACCTCCCTTCACTGACCTGAGTGCCGTGCGGGCTCCTTCCTGGGGCGTCAATGGGGAAAGAGGGGTTTCTGTCCTAACCCACTGCAGTGCCGGCCCCGTCCGCCCCAGGCCCCCCCCGCCCCGTCCGCCCCAGGCCCCCCCGCCCCGTCCGCCCCAGGCCCCCCCGGCCCCGTCCGCCCCAGGCCCCCCCGGCCCCGTCCGCCCCAGGCCCCCCCGGCCCGTCCGCCCCAGGCTCCCCCGTGAGGACCCTGGAGCCCAGGTCTAGCTCCGCGGGCTGAGGCCAGACGTGGCTGCTCACTAACATCACCCGCATGGAGGGCTTTTTAAACAATGAAGGAGGAGAAATCAGGTAAGTGACACCATGAGGAGAGAATCTGGCAAATGCAGAACGAACGCGGGGTATTATTCTACAAGACAGCTGTGCTCTTTGTAAAGGCAGCCGACGGGGAAGGAGAGGGGGGCCGGCTCGGTGCTTCTCACACTTGAGCGTGAATGAGAATCCCCTGGCTGGTCACAGAGTCCCGGCCCCAGCCCCGAGTTCCGAGGCAGGCGGTCCAGAGTGGGGCCAAAGCTGCCTGTTGTGTTTTTCCAAATGTTTTTATTGCTTTTACGGGGAGAGAAAGAGAGGGGCAAAGAGATTGAAACATCAAGGAGATCAGCTGCCTCCTGAACTGGGGATGGAGCCCGCAACCCAGGCATGTGCCCAGCCCAGGAATCGAACCAGGGACGGGTCAATGTTCAACCGCTGACCCACACCGGCCAGGCTAATGCTGCACTTTAGGAGGCTCCGAGCATAGCTGGCCCTGACCGTCACCGCGAGGCACGTTCTACACTACTAGAGTCATGGCCAGCTGCCGTGCACACACCTTCCTGGGCCCTGAATCCGTGCATGGGTGGGGTCCTTAAAGGGGTTGGGGGGGGAGCAGGACCTCCGGGCAGGTGGTGGGACACCCTTGCGGACCGGGTATCCAGATCCGTCCCGCCGATGTTCGCACCGGTTGTCCAGAGCCACCTGACTGCTGCCTTTTTTTTTTTTTTTTAATATGTTATTGATTTTTTACAGAGAGGAAGGGAGAGAAACATCGATGAGAGAGAAACATCGATCAGCTGCCTCTTGCACACCCGCTACTGGGGATGTGCCCGCAACCAAGGTACAATCCCTTGACCGGAATTGAACCTGGGACCTTTCAGTCCACAGTCCGACGCTCTATCCACTGAGCCCAACCGGTTTCGGCCTGGCTGCTGCTTTTAAATTGTTTCTTCCTTGCGGGGATCTAGGGAGGGGAAGTCTAAGGCCGGTGGCGCTGGTCCGCCAGTGCCTGGCCCATTCTCTGCAGATTGGACCTGCAGGACTACTGAGGGAGGGAGCAGTTGCTGGCCAGCTGGTGGGCCGCCAGGATGGGTCTCAGCTGAGCGGTGCTCCCGCTGTTCCGCTGTGAGAGCACACTGACCACCAGGGGGCAGCTCCTGCATTGAGCGTCTGCACCCTGGTGGTCAGTGTACGTCATAGCAACCAGTCATTCCATTCAATCCAGTTCAGTCGCTTAGGCTTTTGTATATATAGGTTCAATCCCAAACTCAACAGCTGTTTAAATTGTTTTTCAAATAAAATTAAATAAATATAAATAAATTGTTTTTCAAGATGTTCTATTGTATTAAGTGGTTTACAAATTTAATCTTTAGAAAATCTCTGAAGGCGCTCCTGCTTGGCCTGACTGCTCTCTGCCTGTTATCCTGGGGCCTTTCTCAGATCATCATTTCCCCCAGGAGTCCCTGTTTTAAAAAACCCTCACCCGTGTTTCCATTTATTCGGGAGAGAGAGAAAGAAACATCAATGTAGGAGAGGAACATTGGTGGGTTGTCTCCCATACACACCCTGGGGATCAAAACCCCACACCCTGGGCATGTGCCCCGGCCAGGAATTGAACCCCCCACCTCTTGGTATGTGGGATGACACTCCAACCAACGGAGCCACACGGATCAAGGCTCTTCCCCTCTCTTTAACGTCTGAGCTCCTGTTCCGATATCAAATTCTGTTCCTTCTGCTTGGTTTTCTCTCTCACTTTAGTGGGTTTAGTGTCAGCCCCCTGGGACTTTAATTTGCCATCCCTGCTTCCTAGTGAAGTTGCTGTAGGTGCATGTGCTGTTGCTTCTCTGCGAACTCTCTTTGTACCCCCGGCCTATCTTCTTGTCGCCACGGGTCTCCTGGCTGTGGATCTGTAAGGAGTGTTCGCACGCCCAGCCATGACCCGCGATTCACCTGCCAGCTTCGCACATACCGAGAAGCCTGCCCTTTGCTTAGGGTAACTTCCTGTCATTGTCCCCCCGGCTTCAACACCGATCCATCTAACGCAGTGGTTCTCAACCTTTCTAATGCCGCGACTCTTACGGTTCCTCAGGTTGTGGTGACCTCCAACCATAAAATTACTTTTGTGGCTGTAATTTTGCTACTGTAATTTTGTTATGAATCATAATGTAAATATCTGTGTTTTCCGAAGGTCTTAGGCGACCCTGTTAGCAGTTCTCAACTTGTGGCTCCTAACAGGTTGAGAACTGCTGCTGTAGAGCCTAAGACCACCGGAAAACACAGATATTTACATTAGGATTCATTACAGTAGCAACATTACAATTATGAAGTAGCAACAAAAATTACAGTAATGAAGTAGCAACGAAAATAATTTTATGGTCGGGGGGTCACCACAGCCTGAGGAACTGTATGAAAGGGCCGAGGCATTGGAAAGATTGAGAGCCACTGATCTAAAGGAACTGTGGTGGCCTCGGGGCTTCTTGGCTTAAAATTTCCCCCCAATCCCTGGATTGTACGTACAGTTTCCTGCGTTTTCTTCTAAGACTTTTACTGAGCCTTTGATTCATCTGTAATTTACTTTTGCCTGTGGTATGAGGTACTGATCCAATTTTATTTTTTTATGAACGGACAGCCGATTGTGCTGGCACCTATTACTGAGTAAACTGTCCTCCTCTGGCTGAGCTGAAGGTCCAGTTTTGTTTGTTTCTTGTTTGTTTCATTTTGTACAGAGAGGAAGAGAGAGGGATAGAGAGTTAGAAACATGCCCTTGACTGGAATTGAACCTGGGACCTTTCAGTCCGCAGGCCAACACTCTATCCACTGAGCCAAACCAGTTTCGGCCTGAAGGTCCACTTTTGTCATGATTTAAATTCCCAGACATGATAGTAGCCCCACTTGGGGGATATTTAGCTGCTCTGATTGCAGGTCTTTGATACTGTCCAAGTGAAGTGAAATGTGGTGTAAGACCATAAAGTATAAATAAATAAATAAATAAATAAATAAATAAATAAATAAATAAAAACTGTATCTAATGTGGAAAAAGGCCTATTGGTGGTTGTTGCTTTGTTAACTCTTTGAAAACCTTGTTCTGTTGACATCATATGATGTCACCTCTCCACTCAAAACCCTTCAGTGGCTTCGTACCAGAAGCTAATTCCAGTAAGTCATAAATGCAAGAAGTTCATCAAAAGGTCGGTGGACGTTGAGCCTACAGCAAGGGCTGGAAAATACATATTATTGGCTGTTGGAAATGGCTAAAGGCATTTCCTCAAACCTGAAAAGGATGCATAAATGATTGCTTGCTGCCAGGCAGCTGAGGACATTTTAATCTACATGTTATTGCCTCCAGCTGGCCAAACACCTTAACAACCTAGGCAGTACCCCCAATCTGACAATGGATTCTGTATACCAAACCTTACCCTTTGGTATGTATACCTTGCTTTAGGACAATTTGTGTTAATAAAAAGCAAGGGGTCCAGAGAGAGAGAAGAACTTGGTTCCTTTAGCCAAGTCTTCTCTGGCCCCCAAAATGCCTTCCAAAATTATGTTTTGTCTCTGGACTCTCAATTAATTTACAGCATCCCCTTCTCCAGATTCCTGAACCCTTCTAGATGCTTGATTAAGACCACCTGGCAGCTTCCTGTATCAGGCAATCAAAGCTAAATTCTATACTGTTCTTACAAACTCCTATTTTTTGGGAGGTGGGAGGAGTTAATAACAATATAAAAATCATTTTATATACATTTAATCAATAACACTTAGGTGAGGAGAAACCTAGATGGCAGCATAGGTAAAAACCTGAAATTGCTGCCTCGCACAACCACTTTAAAACTACAACTAAAAAATAAAACGGACATCATCAAAAATAAAACAGGAAGGCTGGCTAAGTGGACATTCTACAACTAAAAGGGGAGAGAAAAGCACACTGAGATTCAGAGGAGGTGCAGAAGTAAAGTGCAGAGGTACAGAGGTGCACTCGCAGAAAGTGCTGGCAACTGAGTACACAGCTGGCTCTCTCAATCTGCAGGGAGACACATGCTCCCAACTGCTCTGAACTCCATTCCAGGCGAGACTCTGGGGACCCAGACTCATATAGGGAGAAACTGGACTGTCTGGCTTTGAGCGGAACTCGAGGGCTGCTTTCTCTCAGAGGTGTTGCAGCAATTACCAAGGGACACTGAGACCCAGGGGCCTCTTAGGGCAGGGCTGATGGTCAGCCATTGCTGTTTGCTCATCCTGAGCCCCTGCCTCATCCAAGCTGTGTGCAGAGGTTTTGCATAGAAATGGCCTGGTCCTTTGAAATCTAAAATTACCTAACAAACTGCAACTGAGTCAGAGAGAGCCAAAACATCCAAAAGAAGGCCCAAGGCCCCACAGCAGCTTGCATTGCTTCACAGCTGGGCCTCATATGGGCACCTCTAAAACCCAAACAAATAAGAGGAATCTGCAGACTTCTCCGTAGTTCCCCACTGGGTGGCCTCAGGCAGAGGCTAAATTAGCACCTCCTTGGATATCCAAGAGCTAGTGCACCCAGTGGTCAGAGTGAGACCATCCAGATTACAACTCCTCAGATTCATAAGGACACACTCAGGGGAAAGACTCAGTGCACACCAAAGCACCACTGAATCAAGTCTTGACTCCTAAGGTTGTCTCAAGCACAGTTGTCCCACATAGACACAGCTGATCCTCACAGCCAATTGGCCTGAAGGTCAATTCCTCCCAGTGATACCAACAACAATCAAGGCTTAACTACAACAAGACTGTGCATATAGCCCACAAAGGGTGTCCACCTCAGGTAACTGGGGAGACTGAGCCACTGGGCCCTATAGGACACCTAGCACCCAAAGCCACTCTATCAACTCAGGAAAGCAGCCAAAATGAGGAGACAAAGAAACAGGTCACAAATGGAAAAAAATGGAGGAAAGCAAACAACTGGATATAGAGTTCAAAACCACGGTTATAAGGTTTTTCAATAATTTTCTAGAAACCACCAATAAATTCAGTGAGACCTAATAAATTTAGTGAAAAAGGACCTACTGGAAATTAAGCATACACTGACTGAAATAAAGAATAATATACAGAGATCCAACAGCAGACTAGAGGATCATAACAATCAAGTCAAAGATTTAAAATACAAAGAAGCAAAAAATACCCAACCAGAAAAGCAAAAAGAAAAGAGAATCCAAAAATATGAAGATAGTGTAAGGAGCCTCTGGCACAATTTCAAGTGTACCAACATCCGAATTATGAGGATGTCAGAAAAAGAGAGAGAGCAAGACATTGAAAACCTATTTGAAGAAACAATGACAGAAAACTTCCCCCACCTGGTGAAAGAAATAGACTTACAAGTCCAGGAAGTGCACAGAACCCCAAACAAAAGGAATCCAAAGAGGACCACACCAAGACACATCGTAATTAAAATGCAAAGGGCAAAAAACAAAGAGAGAATCTTAAAAGCAACAAGAGAAAAACAGTTACCTACAAGGGAGTACCCATATGATTGTCAGCTGATTTCTCAACAGAAACTATGCAGGCCAGATGGGAGTGGCAAGAAATATTCAAAGTGATGAATAGCAAGAAACTATAACCAAGATTACTCTACCCAGCAAAGCTATCGTTCAGAATTGAAGGTCAGATAAAGAGCTTCACAGATAAGAAAAAGCTAAAGGAGTTCATCACTGCCAAACCAGTATTACATAAAATGCTGAAAGGTATTCTTTAAGAAGAGGAAGAAAAAGGAAAAGGTTAAGATAAAAATTATAAACAACAAATACATATCTATCAACAAGTGAATCTAAAAATCAAGGGAATAAAAAATCTGATGAACAGAATAAACTGGTAAATATAGTAGAATCAGGGACATAAAAAGGGAGTGGACTGACAATCCTCGAGGAGAAAGGGGTGTGGGAGGTGCAGGAAGAGACTGAACAAAATCATACACCTACGGATGAAGACAGTGGGGGGGATAAGGTCATGGGGTGGGGTGGGAGCCAGGTGGAGGGGAGCTATGGAGGGGGGAAAAGAGGAACAACTGTAATAATCTGAACAATAAAGATTTATTTAAAAATAAAAAATAACACTTAGGTGATACAAGAACAAGGTTTGAACATCAATTTGTGAGCATACATGCCTTGTTGACCTCTTAGGATGGCTGTCTGCCTCATGGTCCACAGTTTCTGATCCTTGGGATGAGGGCAAGAGTTGGAGGCAAGGGCAGATGTCCATCTGTGTTTAGGGACGGGAAGGTAAGTTCCCTTGTAACAATGTTGGAGAGAGTCTTGAACTGATGTCTTTCCCCAACAGACAAAAATCTCCTGGATGTAAGCTGTGGTCTCCAAATCCCTTACCTCCTGGCAGCCTCATTGGTCTTTTAATTAAAATTGCATGTGGGAACATTCCTGGGTGTGTTTTTTGTGTTTGTTTGTTTTTGTTTTTAAGTAATCCCTTTTTTGCTTTGTTTTGTTTAGTTTCTCCTGAGTATATTTTTCCCCTGATTTTTAGAGAGAGTAGAGGGGCAGAAGAGAGACAAGCATTGATGTGAGATTGTTTGCCTCCTGCCTGCGCCCTGACCAGGGCAGGGTTTGAGCCTGCCACCGAGATCTGTGCCTTTGGCCAGAACTGAACCCCTGACCCTTTGGTCCAAAGGCAATGTTCTATCCACTGAGCCAAACCTACGAGCGCAAACCAGCCCACTTTTCTGATGTTAGCTCTGTCTCTTTCTCCTTCAACATGTTTTTCCCTTCATAGAAGTCCTGCACATTCCCTGTTAAATTTATCTCCTAAAAATATAAATGTAAGTGAGACATCTTCTTTTTTCTAATTTCTACCCAACAATTTCTTTTCTTTTTTTTAAAATATATTTTATTGATTTTTCACAGAGAGGAAGGGAGATAGAGAGCTAGAAACGTCGATGAGAGAGAAACATCGACCAGCTGCCTCTTGCACACCCCCTACCGGGGATGTGCCCGCAACCAAGGTACATGCCCTTGACGGGAATCAAACCTGGGACCTTTCAGTCCGCAGACCGACGCTCTGCCGCTGAGCCAAACTGGTTTCGGCATCTACCCAACAATTTCTTGCAATATCGAGGTTATCTTGTCTCTCATTTATCTATCTATCTATCTATCTATCTATATATATATATAAATATATACTTTTTTTTTTTTTTTACTAATTTCAGAGACAGAGGAAGAGATAGAAACATCAATGATCAGAGAATCATCAATCAGCTGCCTCCTGCACACCCCTATTGGGGATCAAGTCTGAAAACTGGGCATGTGCCCCTACTGGGAATTGAACTGGCAACCTCCCTCCCTCTCTCTCCAAAAATCTATTAAAAACTCTTTTAAAAAGAAAAGAAGCCCTAACCAGTTTGGCTCAGAGCATCGTCCTCTGGACTCTAGGGTCCCAGGTTCGATACTGGTCAGGGGCATGTACCTTGGTTGCGGGCACATCCAGGTAGGGGTGTGCAGGAGGCAGCTAATCGATGTTTTCTCTCTCATCGATGTTTCCCTCTCCCTTCCTCTCTGTAAAAAATCCATAAAATATATTTTTTAAAAAGAAAAGAAAAGGTTGTACTTTGCTGTGGGGGCAAGAGGGAGTCCCCAAGGCCCAGTCCGTCCGATAAGCAGGGCAGGAAGGGTCAGTGCTGGGCGGCGGACTTACTAGCCTGATGTTACAGGTGAGGACACGGAGGCACAGAGAGGGGAGGGCCTTGCCCAGGATCGCACAGCTGCAGAGAAGTGCGGGAGCCCAAGCCCAGGCCTCTCTGACTCCAGGCCTCCCAGTCCCCGTGTCCCTCCCCCGGCCCCCCTGCCCCCCGCACACACACCCCGAGAGCCTGAGACACCCACAGCTCCAGAACCGCTGTGCCCAGCTTCCGGGGCGGGACCTGCAGCACCCAGTGCGCCGCACCTTTCGTACCTGCCCCCGCATGAGTCACTCCGGAGCCGGAGCGAAAGCACCGGGGGAGTGCTCCCTGTGCGTGCACTTCGGTTCCTGTCTTAGTCACCGCTTCTCTGGTTCCCACCCTTCCCCCAGCCTCCGGAGCCTCCAGGTCTCTGGCCGAGGCTGCCTGCGCCCCTGCCAGCTCCCTTCCCCCCACACAGCTCGCCCTGCCCGGTGGGCTCAGGCACCCAGTGCGGTGGGTGCGGGGCACCGGGCCCTGAGACCACCGCTGGCTTCCTGCACCTGAGGGAAAGCAGGGAACTTCCCGGGCAGACACAGACACTGACACTCCTACCTGCCAGCTTCAGCCAGGCCCTGCTCTGAGCCCTTTGCATCTTGTAAGACATCCAATCCTCATAAAAGGCCTTTAAGTACTGCTGTTCCCACCACCACCTTTTTTTTTTCTTTTTTTTTTAAGTGGAAGCAAAGTTTATTGAGAGTCAGAGGGATTCCCTGCAGCAAGTTGCATCTGTCCCTATTTTTTAGATGAGGCCACTGAGGTGCAAAAAGGGGACGGATGTGCCGAAACCGATTTGGCTCAGTGGCTAGAGGACTGAAGGGTCCCAGGTACGATTCAGGTCAAGGGCATGTACCTTGGTTGCGGGCACATCCCCAGTAGGGGGTGTGCAAGAGGCAGCTGATTGATGTATTTCTCTCATCGATGTTTTTAACTATCTGTCCCTCTCTCTTCCTCTCTGTTAAAAATCAATAAAATATTTTTTTAAAAAGGGGGGGAGGGGGGACACAGACGTGACCTATTCCAGTTCCAGAACCAGCAAAGGCAGAGCAGAGAGTCCAGCTCGGTCTGCGGGCCCCGTCGAACACGGTTGAAACCGGATAACCCGTGGGTCGAGGCTACCTGTCGCTACTTGAACCAATGAAGCCGCGCTGAGTCATGTCTGAGCCTGTATCCCAACAATGTGGGCGTATGGGAGAGCAGCAGGTCCCCCACGAAAATCTGCCCCGTCCCCCACCGTAAACCAGCTGCTTATAGGGGGCAGCAGGACAGAGTACATGAGGAAGTGGGCAAAAGGAGTAAGAATGGTGGCCCGGCCGGCCAGATGGCTCAGTGGTTGTGTGGGGATCTATGAACCAGGTCTCCGTTCGATTCCTGGTCAGGGCCCATGTTCCCGCTGCAGCTCAGTCCCCACTGTGAGGCGTGCAGGAGGCAGCTGATCCATGTTCTCTCTCATCATCCATGTTTTGTTTAATATATATATATTTTTTTTTCAAAGAGGAAGGGAGAGGGAGAGAGAGAGAAACATCAATGATGAGAGAGAATCATGGATCGGCTGCCTCCTGCACACCCGCTGCTGGGGATCCAGCCCACACCCAGCATGTGCCCTGAGTGGGGCTCAAGCCGCGACCTCCAGGTTCATAGTTCGAATCTCAACCACTGAGCCCCGCTGGCAGGGCCATCACTGATGTTTCTCTCCTTCTCCCTTCCTCTCTGAAATCAATATATATATAGATATATATTTTTTAAATATATTTCATTGATTTTTCACAGAGAGGAAGGGAGAGGGACAGAAAGGTAGAAACATCAATGAGATAGGTACATCGACCAGCTGCCTCCTGCACACCCCACACCAGGGATGTGCCCGCAACCAATGTACATGCCCCCGACCGGAATCGAACCTGGGACCTTTCAGTCTGCAGACCGACGCTCTATCCACTGAGCCAAA